GAGGAATATTTAGTAAAAGAAAATATTAAATGAAGATCTTACGAGCGCGGTTCCAAGCGGCCGGAAAGGATGAAGCCGTTGTTGGAATGATATTATTGATGGCAACTGCAACAAACCGTTCCGTACATCCACGATTGATATCATCATCCATGCTAGTCATGAGAGCATGGTGGCCACGTTTGCAGAGGTTTATCATACCCACATGGAAAATCTTGGGAGAGTAGAGGTTCATCATACGAGCTAAGGTTAGCTCTTCTCTAGTCTCCTAGAACAAACGCCGAAGGCAAGCGACTGTCATCCACACCGAAGGACTTACTTATGCCAAACACACTTGGTAGCGGAGGCAAAACTCCGCAATCACGGAACCCAGCTCTCCACTCAAAGAAAACGCACCCAAAGTTACGGGATACATGTAAAAATATGTAAAACCCTCCTTGGGAAGGGTCACTCGCTCCGATAGGTCAGGAGCAATAATATCTAACTCATGGCAATGGCAGTCTTCCTTCACAGTAGGACGAATGGAAGAAAGGGTACCTACTGACAGCCCATGTATGAGGGTTAGCAGTAGGAAATTTCTCTTGGAAGTCTTTTGTGGTATTGAGTCTTCTAGGGATGATGGAATCCACCGTTAGAGGAGAAGAATCTTCGGCCCTGATCTTGTTCTTTGAAGAACTGTCGCTTTGAAGAAGAAGCCATTGAATAGAAGAAGGAAAAGGTTTTTTGTTTGAAGAGAGTTAGAGAGAAGATGGAAAATAAAGGTGCAAATCAAAAGCTTGGAAAATTATGGAGTACAAGAGAAAAAAAATGATGTGTATAAGTAAAATTTTGGCGGCTAAATTCATAGCCATGATTACCTCGATAATCGGCAAAAGCTGTGCTGAATCGTGGGATGACGCGTGTTTTTAAATGCGGGTGCGTCTAATCAACCGTTAGAAGCCTGCAAAGGGAATTATAGTAATTCCCATCAAAAGAGTATTTCTACCAACTTCCCGATAACACAAAGTTATGTCCCCGAAAAGCAAGGGGACTATCTGTATAGGGTAAAATATAATGTGACACGTGGTCATCTAAAGGAATGGCACGTGGAACCCAAGACGGGAATGGCCAAAGACCAAACACAGCCTTTCCGCTTGTCACCGGAAAGGATAACGTTCATAAAGGTGTATTAAATGCTCTGTGCCCAATAGCATCTAATAAAGAATATACCGAGCATTAAGAGAGACAGCCCGTTACAGAGAATTTGGCATTTATGTTCACCGATACATCTTCATCAGTGACCCTCATAATTAACACTAAAGGAAGGGCATGATTCTTGGACCTCCTTCCCTAGACACAACTATAAATAGTGAGCTTAGCTATCATTGTAAGGGACACAAATTTTCTGGCTAACTTACTCTACATTCTATACAAAGTTTAATACAATTTACCTTTTCAATTTTTGATCTCATCTGTTGTGTCCGGAAACCTTATTTCCGGAACTGTCATCTCTGATGTTTTATCTACATTTTAAGGCTAAGTATTGTATAATTCTTCAAATATTGTATTATTTCAGGATCAAATTAGTTCACTTGTCTAGAAATTACGTATAAATTCAACTGTATTGTTTTACGGGTAAATAGATAAACAACGTTCTTATTCTCTTGATATTCGAATTCTTTTAACTTGTCTAAATTATGCTGTTATTTGAGAATGATCACAATATAAAAGTCATAGATTAACCTATTTTTGTGTGTGTGGTTAAATTTTAGCTGCATCTGAACGAAGCAGAAAGGTCTGTTTCAAAGTCAATGATGTAAAGAGCAGTAGTATTTCTGGCTTTAGAAGTAAATATTCAAATACCTATGAACTAGCAGGGAACGTACCCTTCAAACCATGTGACTTTTTGTGATAAATAAAATGCTTTGAAAACTAAAAAAATAAAATACCTATGAACTGAAAGCATGTTGATATCAAACTAAGAGTCTGTTTGGAAAGCCACCCTGTAATTGGAATTGTTGTAATTACTAGGGTAGTAATTACACAGCCTAGTAATTACTCAGTTGTGTAATTAGGACGACCTGTTTGTTTGTCATAGTGTAATTACAAGTTTACTGTTTGGTTGCACAAGTGTAATTACACAGTTAAATTAAATTTTAAATTAAGTAATTATCAAAACTTAAAAGTTAATATAATAAGTATATGCCTATAAATTTTTATAAGTATAAATGATATTATATTTGGTATTTAAGATGTATATTTTTCGTGAATATACATTAATAAGTAATCATATATTTATAACTAATATTGTAAAAATAATCTATTTATATATTTTAAATTTATAGTAATATTTAGTTTAGATACGTACAAAAATTAAAAATATACGTTTTCTTGTAAGAACATCATGGAATTCATATTTGATAAAATAAATTAATATTTATAAATATAATGTCATAACATTATTCAAATGTTTGACAAAACTTATCTATCAATTCTAACTAAAAAATGAACAACATGCGACGTGAGCCAATACTACTAAAACAACTAAATTAGAACCATGAATATAACACAATTTCAAAATTAAAAAAATAAATTATTTAGCATTTGTCAAATTCCAATAAAAATTAAAAATATACGTTTTTTTGTAAGAACATCATGGAATTCATATTTGATAAAATAAATTAAAATTTATAAATATAATGTCATAACATTATTCAAATATTTGTCAAAACTTATCTATCAATTCTAACTAAAAAATGAACAACATGCGACGTGAGCCAATACTACTAAAACAAGTAAATTAGAACCATGAATATAACACAATTTCAAAATTAAAAAAAAATTATTTAGCATTTGTAAAATTTCAACATAATAATAGTAAGTTCCACTATAATTTTAGATTAGGAAACATAATAAGCTTATAACCACATTCAACAATAAAATTCCACGTTAATTACATCACTCGTTATATGATAAGTTTGTAAATGACTCATTATTTATAATATTAGGAGGTGTAGTTTCAAAAAATAGAATAATAAAATAAATAAAAATAAAATATAAGCAATTACATGAAATAACAAGAAATAAAAGATAAATAATGTACAAAGAAAAATATATTTTAAAAATTTAAAAGAAATTAAAAAGTAAAAAATTAAAATAATAGAAATAAAAAGTTATAAAGAAAATAAATTAAAATAAAAATAAAAAGGAAAGAAAATAAATAATAACCTTGTAATTACACAGTGTAATTACCACCAATTCTCACCTCCCCCTTGAGAATTGGAGAGTGTAATTACACCCCTCCAATTACACCCAATTCCATGCTGACCAAGTAATTACTTGGCCAAACAAACATGCCAAACTGTGTAATTACACTCAATTATATCCAAATCCAATTCCTAGGTGGCTTTCCAAACATGCTCTAAATGCAGAGCAACTACCTGTCCAAGATTAGGGAATATAATGCTTTTGTTTTGCTAATTCAAGGAAGAAAAAAGCAGATGTATTAACCAAAATTAAATGCGAAATTGATTGAAGTGTGGATGTACATTAAAAGCTACATGTCCCACCATCTATTTTACGTTCATTTTTTCTCGTGTTGAAGTATTTATATTTAAGTTCATTTATAATTATGAGATACTAATATACTTTATCTTGCTTGTTTTTTATATTTCATTTATTTTTCCACTAGCACATATGCATGGAAATGGATTCATATCCCTCAGCCGTTTTCTTCTTAAATGAAATGATTGATGCAACCTTTCAATCCTCTCATCATTTATTTATACTCCTCAAATTAATTTAAGAAAAATGAAAAGAACAAGGATCCGTTTGGCAATAGATTTTGTCACAATTTATTTGGTTATTTTTTTAGCAAATACATGTCTGTTCATAAATGTTATCCATTTTTTGGGAAATTTCCAAAACCCAAAACTCAAATCCCGTTTGACCCAAAATATAACTATTATATTTTTAAAAATTGCCCCAAACTTTTGTACTTTATAAAAGAGCCCACCATTTGTTACTTTGTAACAATGCTGCTTCGTCTTCTCGGTCATATGATAGTGTATTATGTAGTTCATTACAAAAATAATAATTTTGTACCAAATTTATTTATGTTCAGGACTATGGTTTGCGATAATATAATGGATGTTAGGTATTGTTGAGTATTTGTGATAGTTTTTAGAACTTGTAAGTATAAGTCATGTTCATCTTTTTTCAAAAATAAAAAGTGAGTTATGTTTTGAAAACTGATGTCTCAAATGCTAGCCAAATTACAGTTTTTACACCACTACATATAATTTCTCTATTGTTGTAAAAATAACCCCTCTCTTCCTCTTTTTAATACTATTATTTTAATATTTTAATTTTCAAACTAAAATTTCAAGATTTTATTTTTGTAAAAAAGTTTTTATCTATGCTAGTCCATGTTATTAAGTAACTCCTTACGCAAGTTATGAGAATCAAACTCGCGCATTAACATATAATTTAATAATTTTAAAGTTACTTGATTGTCCCCGTAGAAGATAAAAAATGAGGTTAATAGTATTTTATTTTGAAAATATTATATTTTGAACTTTTTGGAAACAACTAAAGGTAAAAGTTGAGTGCTTGGACCACTTTTTGAGGAAAATTCTCTTGAAAAACATTTATGCTAAATTTTTGTAAGAACTTAATTTGTACTATTGTTTTTGGATTTGGCAAAATATTTTTGCTGTTATCGATTTTTGGAGAAATTAAATCAAATTTAATCAAATGGAGAATTCTTTTTTGGTTTATACTTTATACTACGAGTACAATTTATTTAGAACCAAAAAAATGTTACATTGAATTGTTTTCTGTGGAGAAAAGGTACTAAAAGGTGGGTCCCAGAGAAGGCTTATAGACGGATGACACTAATCCAAAAAAAAAGGCGTACGGGCGTTACACGTGTCTAGATAAGTCTAGGTCCACAAAAACCAATGAAATAAGAAAGGAATACTCAAAACCACTGTTGCCACAATCCACAATTGGGCGATGGAAAGCACGTGCTCCCTCAACCAATAAACTCTCTCTCACACACACACACAACACGCACATATTCATATCCCTCCTCACTTTCGTTTCTCCAGTCTTTCTCTCTCTAAATGTTCCCTCTCTCTAAAACCGTCTAGTCTGTGGTGATGTTGATCCTCTCTGCGTCTCCTTCTTCCTCCACTCTCTCTTCTTCTTCTTCTTCTTCACACATTTCTAGGCCTTTAATTTCTTTCTCATCTTCGTCTTCTGCTTCATTTTCAACTTCTCTACCAGTAGTTGGAGTCAAAGCTGGTGCCAGGCTACTGTCAATTCAGAAGTTACGGTGTGCGATTTTCTGTGCTTCTAAGGTTCGTGGAATGGCGGAAATAGTTGAAGAGAAGAAGGAATCGAATTCAACTGCTGCTGCTGCCGCCGCCATCGCAGTTTCTACTTCTGAGAATCATGAGCTTCCGCAGTCACGTGCCTTCCTTGACGCTCGTACTGGAGAAGGTTTATTTCTAGCTACTCTTTCCTTTTTTTCAATTTGAAATATCTTTTGCATTTTGTGCTATGTCAGTGTGGTTTATTTTCTATCCACTCGTGCATTTTTGTGCGTAATATGTCGGTGTCCCTCGTACGCATTTACGGCACGACGTCGTTTTGTTCGAATGCATTGAAATCCTTGATATTCTTCACAGCTAACGATGCTAAACATACATGACACTCGCAAATGAGCGGGTAGATTTTTTCTTTTCTATGAGAGCTTATATTTCTGTTTTTCCTCTTCCTGAACTTCAGTTTGTTTGTTAGGATAAAAATTGTGTTGAGTTGATTGTTAAAAAGTAAGGATATTCCATTTAGCATGGACTTTTACTGTGAATTGTGGAGTTATAATTGTTTTTGCCGCATAAACAAGTGAACTCTATGTTCAAGGTAAAATAAAGTGATGGAGATCTGAGGTTTGTTTGATATTTTGTTTTTCCTAATAGTCCTATCAAATAGACTTGTAGGAAAAACGTTCCATTCTAAGAGATGAATTGGTCACAAGAGCAGTTTCAGTAGTGGTATTAATTCATTTTTTTTTTTGATATAAAATTGCAATAAGTAGCATACTGGTCTGTGGAAGCATGCTTAAGTGTTCAAATACCATTTCAATGAATTTGTCAACCTTGATGCACGGGTAAAATATGTGTTGGTTACAGTAAGCTCAATGAGTGTTCCTCTATGAAACACATCAGTTGGGCTTTGGTGCTTCAACTTCACAGGGACATCTTAAACTGACAACTAGCAGAACTAAACTTGAGGAACGGTGCCACTATAACGTAATGTGGGTCCATCTTGATGATGGTGCTAAATAATATGTGGATGGTAAGAGACTCGAGCCAATTAATAGGGGATGTGATGAGGGGAAGGATATAAATTGAAGGGTAAGGCTAAATAAAAGTTAGGGGTTGAAAGCCTTTCTATGGACATCAAAATAACCAGATGAACTACTAAGACAGGATTGTTAAAGAGAATTAAGAAGCTAACTGGTTTCTACTCTTTTTTGCTTTCTCTTTTTCCATCTGTTTGGTTGAAAGGAGTTGATTGCTGAGAGGTAAAAGCTATAGACTAATTTGCATTAGTGTTATTAAAAGCCATCGCTTTGTCGCTTAAAGCGATGAAGTGAAGCAAGGTGTTGTTGCTTCATATGTAAAACCATGCGCCTTAGAGAAGCTTGCACTTCAAACAATGGTGCACAACGTGAGTCCCACGAGAATCATCACTTCTTTGAATCTCAAGTTTGAGGAGTTGGACTAATATGGCACTATTGTATATTGGGTGTTGAATTTAGTTGTTTAATTTCAATTTAATTCTGGTTATACTAAATTCGTAGATGTTTGATATTTGCCCAATCCCCCCCCCCCTCCCGGTCTTTGATCTAGCTGTAGAACGCAATGTGTGGCCTTCTTGGATGAAGCATTTTGTCGTAGCTTAGTTGTGGCCTAGTTGGATCTTCTTTTGATAAGGCATCACCTAGTTGGATCTTGACTGACATAACACATACACCTATACTATCTTCCCACATGGCTGCTAATTCTGTTGGGGATTAGACGCAAATACCACTTTAAAGCACTCTATTGTCTAGATGCTATTCTTATAGTTTCACTCGACATATTTAATAGTTCAAAATGTTAAAAGGATCAGCTAAGTTTTTTTTTCTTAAACTGTCTTTAACTCCTTTGGATATCTTCTCCATTGCTTTTTGAAGGATTTCATTTCCTCTGCTAATTGTCATGATCTCATAATTTTTACGACTGCTATCTTGTTACGCGTGAAAATGTGCAAGTAGCGACACGCCTCAATAAGCTAACTCTTATTCTCCATAACCTACTTTTTCAATAGGTTACAAGCTAGATCTGCCTCCGGTCAGGACCATATCTAAAAGTTAGTGAAATATAAAATTTTCCGATGGATTTTGACAAGAAAAAGAAAATTTGATAGCCAAAAGTCAAATAATAATTAGTCTAGTAGAAGACTGAAAAACTAAAAAAAGCTTGCCGCTAGAAGGAGGGCTTGAAGTCTTTGTAAAGAAACTCACTTTCAAGCACTTTAAACTATTTCATGTCTAATGATATATAGACTATGTAAATCGTATACTAGGTATACTCTAGTGGAAATCCATCAAGAAATAAATTGAAAGAATTATGTTACTTGACATAAAAGCAAAACTGTCTCTTTTTCCATATAAAAAAAAAGTACTTGGCATAAATAAAACTTAAAACTATTTTACAAATGCAGTCTTAAGTTTCTTGTAAAATAAGTTGAGGTATAAAGTTATACTTGGTCATAAAAAAAGAGAATATTAAGGTAGAATGCTTCCTCAATACGTTAATGGAGCATTTTTCCTTCCTTTCCATGACTTACTTTTCCCCAACCACATTCCTTCCTTTGTCTTTTTGGATAAACTCTTTTTTTTTATAAGGTGAAGATTTTATTAAAAACAGTATCAAGCTGATACTGTAAAAATACAAAGATACTGCTGGCTTAAAAACATTAAAATCCTAAGCGGTCTAGCATGTCCAGCATATCATGAAAATTCATAACAATATTTCCATCTTTCCAATAGTACAAATAATGTAAACAACTATATTTCACATATTGCAGCTGCTCCTTCTTGCCTTCAAAATACCTGTTATTTCTTTCTTTCCATATCGTCCAAGCTATGCTAAGAGGAATATCTCTCCAAATCTTCTTTAAGGATGCTTCTGGACATGCAGGTTCCCAACACTCTAATATATTCCCGAATTTCTTAGGGCTTGCCCAAAGGATGCCAAAGTTAGCCGTGAACATGGACCACACCTGCCAAGTAAATTCACAATGCAAAGAAAGATGGTCCACGGATTCACAAGCTTTCTCACACAAGTAACACCTGCTGCACATTATCCAACCCCTTCTCGTCAAATTTTCTTGAGTCAGACATGCTTCATGCGTTGCTAGCCAACCAAAACATGCCACTTTTGTTGGGACTGTAGTATTCCAAGTCCTATCCTGTTTTTCTTTTGGGGCTGTGAGTTGTGCTTTTTCCTCTTCTATATTCCCTACTTAGAATTTCTAATCAAACAACATTGATTTGGAAAGATTAAAAGGACAGACATCTGAAGCAGTTCTCAACCGGTGTGCCTATCTTAGGGGCTAGTTATCTACATGAAATCTACAAAGTAGGATCTTAAAAACATGTCATGTTTGGCCACTCCTTTTGCTGTTAATGACTTTTCTCTCCTTCATTTGAGGTGATTCTGGATGAGTGTAGAATTTCTTTTAATTAGTGATTTTTTGGTTTTGAGGGTTAAAGAGTTGGGAGACTGGTGAATCAGTAACATATGTTTCACTTATAGGCACTGGTTTACTGTTTTCTGGAGTCTGAGCAAAAATTTGGCAATACCTAGTTCCAACAGGTGCTTTGTCGTGCTGTGAGAAGTGCCACATCTGTGGAAGAAAGAGCAAAAAGAAAGAAATGTTCTATTTCTTTTTTTTTTTTTGTTTATCTATGTTATGAGATCGCTTTAGGCATTTATATGTTGTCTACTTTGTGTTTCTTTGGCTTCTTTTGAGGTATCTCATAGGTTTGATTTGCTACATGGTGTCTAGTATGTTTTAGCATGTATGGGTGCATTACTGTTGGGAAGTATTTTGTTGATATTATTTACCTGTCAAAAAGAGAAACCTTGGGCATCTTACCGAGGGTTGGATTGCAATATACATTTTAAGAATAGAAGAACTGCTGCCGAATTCTTGAAAACTTTTCTTAAAAGGATTTGGAAACCTACTAACATGTTGTGGCAGTTCGTAAGTGTAAGACCTTATTGATGCTTGTCTAGTCACCTTATCATCTTTCACTGACTTGGTTTTGCTTGCTAAATTTAAACATACTGCTCAGCAGATGCCTTGTCCTCGTGTATAGAGACATGTATTTTGGTAGATCGCTTCTAATTGTTTTGAATGAACCTTTTTCTACTTTTTCCCCTGCATTGAGTGTTCTCTTTCTTGTACAGACTTACTATCTGCTATTCGGAAAGCCGTGGAAGATGAAAAACTGCCGCTTAATGTTGCTGAAGGGATGGAGGAGTTGTATCAGAACTATCGGAATGCAGTAAAATAACTTTCTTCAGCCTTATGATTAATGTACTTTTTTGGTGTTGGGTTCTTTGTCTGCTTAAATGTCTTTGGTCATACATGTAACAATCTTCTTTAATGGACTTACTTTCTGGGGGTATAACATGCTATCTTAGGATACTAAAGAACATTATAATATATTTAAGATGGTGAATGTTTATTTTGTTTTTTCTATTTTATTTGATCATTTGGGTTTTAGTGGATGGTACTATACAACCATGTGCTGTTGGTATGGAAAAATAAAGTTCGCCTTTCAAAGTCAAGGCATCAAAACCTCTTTCTGTAGTGTACCAGTAACAGTAGTTAAAAATTTGGAGCTGGAAAAGGTAAAATGGAGAGAGAAGCCACAATTTGACATTTCTTGACTTTTCCATAGACCAATTATGTGGTGGAAAGACATTAGTATGAGGCCAAGTATTTGCAGAAAATGACCTCATGATAATAGGTTAAGCCCTTGTGAAGAGTTTATGTGTAGTCTGTCACTCGACATGTTCATTATCTTTTCTTCCTGGAGCATGGAATATATGACCTTGGGATGGCAGAACTCTAACAGAGATAAATCTCTTTAACAAGTTGCTAATGTTTGAATTTTCTTCTTTTCTTGGTTTGTCCTTTGTGTCTTGCTTTTTCCTGTGCCTCAAGCTACATCTTAATTTGAATGTCAATGAATTGGTCTGCTACTTGCTTTCTCTTTTCAATTAAAATGTAGAAAAATTCATTATCTCCTTCTCGGAAGACTACTTCTTTTAGACTTAAGCATATTGTCAGTCTGTGCAGGAAAGACAGGATTAGGAATGAAGTTATTAGGGACAAGTTAGGAGTGACATCTGTGGAGGACAAGTTGCGGGAATCGAGGCTGAGATGATTCGGGCATGTGAAGAGGAGAGACATAGATGCTTCGGTCAGGAGTTGTGAGAGGTTGTCCATGGCGGGTCTGAGGAAGGGAAGGGGTAGGCATAAGAAGTATTGGGGAGAGGTAATTAGGCATGACATGTCATTGCTTCAGCTTACTGAGAATATGACCCACGATAGGAAGGTGTGGAGGTCGATTAGGGTTGTAGGTTGACAGATAGTAGTGTGTTCCTCCTAAACTTACTAGTAGTACTAGAACTATTTTTGTACTTTCTTATTCATGGTTCTTTATTATTACATGCTGTGTCATTCGCGCCCATTACATTGTTGTTACTATTGTTTGGTACTTGGTTGCTTTATCTCCACTGTTCCTTGAGCCGAGGGTCTATCGGAAACAACCTCTCTACCTTTATGAGGTAGGGGTAAGGTCTGCGTACACACTACCCTTCCCAGACCCATTTATGGGATTACACTGGGTTTGTTGTTGTATGTATGTAATGCTTTTCTTAGAGAGAAATGAGTTCGTTGAGACCCAAAACTATTTGGCATTTTCTGTTATTTGAAACTTCTTGTGGGTCATGTGCTTCTCTTGATTTCTCCTGATTGCCTTTTTTTCTTTTTAAGGTTTTACAAAGTGGAGTACCCAAAGCAGATGAGATCATTTTGTATAACATGGCTCTTGTGTTGGATCGTATTTTTGTGGATGTGAAGGTAGTCCTCTTCCATGTGGGTTTACAATTCACACTAGAATTTGGGATCTGTATCTTTATTTTCTTACTTCAGTCATGCACACGTGTATTCTGTCAAGTTATTAAAATGTGACATCGTAAATGTGGCAACACCCTTGTTTCAGGATGCTTTTGAGTTCTCGCCACATCATAAGGCCATTCGTGAACCTTTTGACTATTACAAGTTTGGCCAAAATTATATCCGCCCTTTACTTGATTTCAGGTCAGTCTCAATTCTATTTTTGTTGCGTTAAAAATCATGTAATAGTTTGATTAACTTCAAATTAGTGTGGTTCTTTTGACCTGGCTAACGACTGAATTCATAGGCATTATTCGTGTAAACAATATAAAGATATCCTCTGAACTGGGTGTGGTCCGCATATTTTTGTCACTGTATCCACCAGCTTGTTGAGATCAATAAATTCAGACCTGGCCTGCTCTATATGGTCTCTTTATACCTGGTAGATAGTGGAGTGATGCAAGATACATATAAGCTAGTACTAGTTCATACAAGGTTGGCAGGTGGGGGAATATATGTGAGAATAACATGTTGCAAATTTAGGTAAACTACTGAAATTGCTTATATCTGAAGGGGAAAGGGATTATGTCATGTTAGAACAGTTGTCCTAATGGCTAGTAGAAAATCATTTTGATCATGATGAAAGGGATAGCTAAATTGTTTGCATTTATGTACAGGGAAAATACTTTTTGTTATTACCCAAATTATTTCCTCATTGCAGTTGTAAGTTTAATAATGTTATTTTCTCCATTGGTTGGGAAAATTCTCCATCTCTTTTTAGCTGATAGAAAGAGCTAAGTCATTGCTCTATTCTGATGAACAATTGGTCATGTCCTGATATCTATTCATTATTCTTACCCAGTGATGATTAGCATGCCTCATAGTATTCCTGCAGTAAGAAGAATGACACAATCGAAGTACTGTGCGCCTAACAATCTATCCATTCGACTGGACCTTATTCCATTGATTTTATGATCCAAATATGTATATTTAGAAGCTACATAAAAATTATTTTGGACTTTTTAAGTTTAAAAATATAAAACACTGATAAGAAAATCATAATTAAAGAAAAATGTTATTTGACTCTTCAAATAGTAATTATGTGAAACAAAAAGGGATAGAGGGAGTATGTTGGTTTTGGTGACATATCAAAGGAGGAGCAACCTATTATAGTTTTTTCTAAATTTGCTTTGTGCATTGCATCTCTGCCCTTTCGGGGGTAGGGGTAAGGCTGCGTACATCTTACCCTCCCCAGACCCCACTTGTGGAAAATTACTAGGTTTGTTGTTATTGTTGTTGCTTTGTGCATTGCATGTCATTCCTTTACTGGTATGTAGATAGAGATTTTGGAAGAGATGAAATAATAAATCTTCTGAAAGGAGGAACAATTAGCAAAAAACCTTACAAATTGAGGTGTTGTAGTCGTTGTATGAACAACTTAATCACCGCATAGTGGTGCTAGTACTTAAGTTGATGTATCTACTTAACTGTTTAATAGCTAGTTTGTGTTTTGCACTTCATTGAGTTGTGAGGGTCGATTTACCAAGTGACAAGTCCATGCTTTCCCATTCATGTAAAATTATAGCATTTATTGATGGTTAGTCATTCATGTAAAATTGCTATAATGTGGGGATGTTACTCCTCTGTTAAATAGTGAAGTTGCACATTTTTGAGTCGTGGAATTGATAGGAAATTCAAAGTCTGTATTGCTTGACAGATAAGTATGATGGTATGGAAGTTTGAGTAGAAAAATATTCTTCTATTCAATAATCAAATCTGTACAAGAGTCATGAATTTATACAAAGAAGAGTTCTACAAAAGATGGTAACAATCCCTTAACTCAAGGAGATTCCTGATTTCAAGGGATTTTCTGTTTAAACATTTTCCTAAAATATCTACATCTATATCTCCTAAAGATCATACAAATCTGATAAAATCAGAATCTTTTATCTTTTTCCTTTAATCTCTACACTCCCTCTCAAGTTGGTGCATAGATATCAATCATGCCCAACTTGCTAACTAGAGATTCAAACTGTGGCTTGAATAGCCCCTTAGTGAGAATATCAGCTATTTGTTGAGAAGTCTGAACAAAGGGCATGCAGACTACTCCATCTTCAACTTTTTCTTTAATGAAATGTCTATCTATCTCAACATGTTTTGTTCTATCATGTTGCACTGGATTGTGAGCAATGCTGATTGCTGCTTTGTTGTCACAATATAGTCTCATAGGCATTGTAACAGGTCTTCTCAGTTCCTCTAAAATTCTCCCGAGCCAAATTATCTCACATACTCCATTTGCCATAGCACGAAATTCTGCTTCTGCACTACTCCTGGCCACCACATTCTGTTTTTTGCTCCTCCAGGTTACAAGATTACCCTATACATAGGTACACTATCCAGAGGTGGACCTTTTGTCTGAGATCGAGCCTGCCCAATCAGCGTCTGTATAAGCTTCAATCCTTTGATTTTCACTTTTTCCAAAGAATAATCCTTTCCCTGGTGAACCTTTAAGGTATCTTAATATCCTATGAACTGCCTCCAATTGTTCTTCACGAGGAGAATGCATAAATTGGCTTACCAAACTTACCGCGAAAGCTATATCTGGTCTTGTATGTGATAAATAGATAAGCTTTCCAACTAGTCTTTGATATTGTCCTACGTCCACCGGTTTTCCCTCCTTCATTCCAAATTTTTTATTGGGATCTATTGGAGTTTCTGCTGGGCGACATCCGCTCATTCCAGTTTCGTCAAGTAAGTCAAGCACATACTTACATTGAGAAACTGCAAGTCCTTTTTTTTATCTAGCTACCTCCATACCCAAGAAGTATTTCAATAGTCCGAGATCTTTGATTTTAAATTCTGAGGCAAGTTTCTTCTTCAAGGCTTCTATTTCTATTGAGTCATCTCCTGTTAGAATTATGTCGTCCACGTACACTATTAAAACTGCTATCTTCCCTTCTTTTGAGTGCTTTGTGAACATTGTATGATCTCCTTGTCCCTGAGCATATCCTTGCTCCCTTACAAACTCGGTGAATCTGTCAAACCATGCTCTCGGAGACTGCTTTAGCCCATATAAAGATTTTCTCAATTTACAAACTCTCGAGCCATACCTGTTTTCAAATCCTGGAGGAGGGTCCATGTAAACTTCTTCCAATAAGTCGCCATTAAGAAATGCATTCTTTACATCAAGTTGTTGAAGAGGCCAGTCCAAGTTCACTGCAATACTCTGAAGAACTCGAATAGTATTTAGTTTTGCCACCGGCGCAAATGTCTCGAGATAGTCAATCCCGTAGGTTTGTGTGAAACCTTTGGCCACCAGACGTGCCTTATATCTCTCTAAGGACCCATCTGATCTAAACTTTACTGTGAATACCCATTTGCAACCAACAGTCTTCTTTTCCTTTGGCAAATCTACTACCTCCCACGTTTTATTTTTTTCAAGAGCCATCATTTCCTCAAGAATTGCTTCTTTCCACTCGGAAACTTTTAGAGCATCTTGCACATTTCTTGGAATTTCCACACTAGATAATTGTGAGGAGAAAGCAGAGAACTTTTGAGAAAGATTTTTAAAAGACACAAAATTGGATATGGGATACTTTGCACAATGTCTGACACCTTTCCTTAAGGCAATGGGAAGGTCAAGATCACTAGAATCGGACTGGACAGGACTAGACTCAGATAAGCTTATAGGGGAGTTACCTTGAGGATTAGTAGAATCTTGGGGTTTAGATTCTTGACAGTGCCGAGTAGTTCCAGTCTCATGTCTTTGATTTTTGCTCCTTCTTGAGTAGACAATAAGCTCCTTTGTACCTGCTTGATCATTTGCTTTATTTGTATTAATGTCCTGATTTTTCCTTAAAGATTCAGATTCCAGATTTTCACTATTTAAAACATCTAATTCCGGTGATAAAACACTAAAGTCCTTATCTGAATAAATTCTAGAATCCGATTCTTTCCTAGGTTCAGAAAGATCAAGAAATTGAAGCGAATCTTCTCTTAATTTCTCCCCCCGAAGATGAGACTTAAAATATGGTTCAGACTCAAAGAAGGTTATATCCATCGTAGTGAATATCTTTCTCTTATGTGCATCATAACACTTGTACCCGTTCTGATTCGGTGCATATCCCACAAACACACATTTTTTGGCTCTAGGATCTAATTTCCCTTGAGTTCGGTTATGAATAAAAGCAGTGCATCCAAAAACTTTCAAAGGTAAATCATTTATCAACCTAGCGGAAGGAAAAGTCTCCTGAAAAACACTTAAAGGTGTCTTGAAATGTGAAACTTTTGAAGGCATTCTGTTGATAAAAAAAATGGCAGTTAGAAGAGCTTTCCCCCAAGAGATACTTAGGAACATTACTAGTAAATAATAAAGCCCTAGTAACCTCTAAGAGATGTCTGTTTTTTCTCTCTGCAACCCTATTTTGTTGGGGAGAATCTGGACATGATCTTTGATGTACTATGCCTTTTTCTAAGAAAAAAAATCCCCTAATGCTTCATTAAGGTATTCTCTTCCATTGTCACTCCTAAATATTTGTATCTTCACCTGAAATTGTGTTTCAATCATAGTATAAAACATTCTAAAGATCTCTTTGACTCAGATTTGTCTTTCAATAAGTATACCCAACTAAGTCTCGTATGATCATCAATAAAGCTTACAAACCGTTTCTCCCCTGTCATGGTAGGAATCCTAGATGGTCCCCAAACATCACTGTGAATTAGGAGAAAAGGTTTCGTAGCTTTATATGGCTTAGATAGGAAGGAGGTTCGGTGATGCTTCGCAATTTCACAAACTTCACAATTGAAAAGAGATGAACTTTTATTATTAAATAAACTCGGAAACAGATGTTTTAAATAGAAAAAACTAGGATGTCCCAACCTGTAATGCCAAAGCATAACATTATTACAAATAAAACTAG